AAACGATGTGTTAAAAAACTCTGTCCCTCGATCGGTTTGTAGCTTTTTGGGTATCCTGCCTCCAAGAAGAATGTTTTCAAACACTTTCTTTACCTCTAAACCAGTCTTGCTTTTAAGGCAGCGCACCCATGCGTATTTTGATAGAATATCTATGCACGTCAACATGTATTTAAAATCATCATTCTGGTCCGCGTAAGCCGACATATCCACCAAGTCAGCTTGCCATTAAGAATCGATATTAGTCACAAAGACTCTATTCCTTTTATAGTTAAATCTGATCGGTTTATGTAATGTGTATGCATCTTCACCAGACAGCCATGTCACAACTTGCTTTTTATCCACAGTATGTCCACTTTGGTCATTTATCTGTGCCCTGTATAATCTATCGACACCACCAAATGACCCAGGGTTTGATGGCGTATAATAGACACGTTTCAAGTGCTTGTTATCCATCGTGAACCTCTATCAATAATGACACAATGTTTTCATGACTCAACTCATTTTATTTAGAAAAGCATGTAAAAATTGCGATCCAATCACATTTTGACAGACATTGTTCAGCGTTTACACACCATCCAGAGTCTGCTCGAACTTGTGCATATCTCAGAAATCACTAATTGCACCATCTACAGCACACTCATAATCTTTCCCTTCAACATCACGTTTCAGCTTGCATAATTTTTCCCGTACATTAATTTCGGTTTTAAGTTCAGAAATTACTGCCTCGACTGCACCTTGGACTTTGACAGGTGGGGGGTGATGGTGAAACATCGCGACCGCTTTCGTGATGATATATTTAAACCATGGTCTATACAGCTTTTTGATCAGCTTTTCAAAATTGTTAAAGAAGTAAAGCGGTTCAGGTTTGTAGAGACGCGTGTGCCTCCGCTGGCTCGGGTGTTTCACAGAACAGCCGACACAGGTCTCCTGCATGTCATCTTCAATGATCCGATCCAGAATACAGGCCAGTGCCCCTTTGATTATCTTCATGGCAGAGTCGGTGATGCTCCCATCCACAGCATCTTCAGATAATGACAGCCCCGCAAAACGATCGCAGCGCTCATCTATCGTCCGTGCAGGGGGCCGCGATGTGTCCATTAGGTCGGAGGCCTCCTGCGGAGGTTGTTGTTGTGATCCGGGCCACACAGCCGAGGTCGGGCTAGAAGGGGTTGGTGGTGGCAGGAACGGTGCCCCATACGGTCCCCATAGTGCGGGGCACCGCGGGATGAGTTGAGGATGCGCTAGTGGTTTGTCCAGTAGCTGAACAAAAGTAAATGGGGCTCGCTGAGGGCTGAGTTGAGGAGAAGACTTGTTGCGCAGTATCAGCCCAAAAGTAAATTCAGACGGGTCCCACAAATCGGCCTGTTGATGGAGGCATTCAGGAGATGTCGGGCTGGGTGATGTCTGTTCGCTCGCCATTGCTTGCTGGTAGATGTGCCTCGTTTTGGTGATGGCTCACAGGATGGCTGGGTATTAATATGTTTTCAAGATGGTTAAGCACGGTCTTCTCTCATCTCATTGGTTGTCATCAAAAAGGCTTTACCTGGGGTGGGGTTTGAACCCACACGGACATACGTCCATTGGATCTTAAGTCCAATGCCTTAACCACTCAGCCACCCTGGTGAACATGGTACATTCTGTGTCAATGAGCATGCACAAGCTTCGGATTCCCCCACCGTTCTTCATTTGACGCGCAAGTTTTGAACAGGCCGGCAGCACACGGTCGAGCTGCGGGGCTAAAATGTTTGCTGGTTAAATGTTTTCTTCAACCTACCACTGGTAAATATCGCTAAAAGTTTTTCTTCTTCTTCTTTAAACACGTTGGTTAAATGTAATGTGTTTAAGCGCTTTCTTCTTTTAAAAACTTGGTTAAAATATTTGTGCTTGTTTAAAACTCAGCATTTGCTCTTGTTTCGTTTGTTTAAAAGTTAAAAGTTTGGGACTTGTGTCGTTTGTGCTTAAAATACGGTGTTTCGCTCGGGCATGTTTGTACTTGTTTAAATTCCATCTGCTTTTCTTTCTTTCTTTCTTTTTAAATGTAACACTAAAGTTTTTCTTGTTTAAAACATTTGGTGCTTTCTTCTTTTAAAATACACCGGGGCGCTCGTGTCTATTGCGGACGGACGGAACCCCGCAGGACGTGTATGCCCTAGCTTACGTTCATCCTGCTATATGTTTTATTATTCCTTAAAAACGTAATTAAAAATAACACATTAATAAAATACATGTAATGTATTTTTATTCTATTAAAGTTTAACGACAACCCTTATCTCCCCAAACCATACGTCCCCCTATCGGCAACACGTGGCTTAAGCATGTATGGTACCATTTGGCCAAAACCCCCTCCTCCCGACCAATCAGATCAAAGGATATGCCCACATCCGCTTATGACGTCATAGATGGGGGAGAGCTTTAAGCTCCGCCCAAGGTACCACCTAACCTTTTTTTTATTGCTGCTGCCTCATTCAGTTCATTCTCTGCAGATGGCAGCTAAAAACACTGATTATATAGTACTGTAGTATGTATTACACTCACCTTTTCAATTTCTTACTGGCAGATTAAGGTCACTCTACTTACCACAATCTATGTGATGCAATTTAAACATATCAGTACTGTTATTATACTAAAACCATATTCCCATTATCTTTCATTTTAGGATTCTCACTTCAAAATACAGAGCAATGTTTGTTCACTATATGACCAGGTATTCACAGGGAACTGAGTGAATTTCCAGGAATGTAGATGTGCACAGAAACAATGAATGAAAAGCAATGAGAAGAAAAGTATTATTGATGTGACATCATCTCAGACCCTAGAGTCCAAATCCAGCAGGACTCTGCATGCTAACATTTAAATTAGCTGCATTGCTATCCTTCCCTTTTCTGGTGGGAAATTGTGTGTCTGGCCAGCTTCGTGGTTCCCTTTTATACGGTGGCCGAGATAGCCCAATGAAATTCAAAATAAAGAAACGCACGTCTAATAGAGAAACGCGCTGCAAAACAACAAAGCATATTCAAGTTCATAACGAACCTCCAAACACACTGCAAATTCATAGACGCTACATAAATTAAGGAAACATTTTCATCAAAATGACAATACATGCAAACCACATTTTACACACGCGCTGCAAATACTAAAAACAACCGCAACTTCGGAAACGCGCTGCAACTGGCAACACAACGGAAGTGTTTCGGGTGACCACATGCTTGTGATAATGTGTTTAACGTAAATGTGCATGTAAACGTTACAGTAAAGAATCAGTGGCAGCTGTTTTGATTAACCTGTGTAGCTCTCTGAGCAATTATAGACTATATAGTACAGTAATTATCAATCACATTAATCCTACCATTTACCACACAGCTTCTTGATTATTGTTGTAGCGATCTGTTCAAATAGAAGATACAGTGGAAACCGCTTACAGTGATCACGTCTGTCTGGGTGAAACTGATTATAAGCGGATGATCATTATAACCCATTTTTTCTTTCTTATGTCTCAGGCAGATTACAATCTAACTGACATGTATATTTCTTACATGAATATAAGGTAATAAAACGGACAGCGTCATTTTTTTACTTAATTTTCAAAATACAGTACAACTGTGTCAAACGCTTTTGAAATTACAGTACTGTAAACTAAATTACTTAACTGTGTATAATTCAAATATGTTATAATACAATACATGACAAATTGCTTATTGAACAGTACTGTATATGAAAAATAGCTTATTGTAGTTTCGCTGCTGCATCTCCGTGGCTCGTTTTTAGCAGTTTCCATATGTTGCCATGCTTAAATACACACTGTAAGCAGACTACTTGACTACTGACCAGAGCATGTGAGCGGAGCGGAGCGTGAGCGAGGATCGGAGCGGGCGAAATTTGGTCAGAGCGCGGAGCGGTTTTTTAATTAAGGCTGGAGCGGTCGCTCTGTCTCGCTCCAATTTCGCTCCGATACCGCTCACACTACGACTCTGAGGCGTGCGCAAATCTTCCCAGAATTCATCTATACAATTACCAAGATTTAGATCCGCTTTGGAATCTAAAAAGACCTTTCTCGGAAACATGAGTG